AGATTTCTAAAGTTGGTCTATTTTGATACTAAATTGTATGATTTTCCCTTATGTTCGAAAAGTCTAGTTGTATCTATAAGAAAAGTAGGCACTTGTTAGATATTTTATTGAATGATATCAACATAAATACTTTTTCTTACCAAATTAGTAGATAGAATTCACAAGCGAATCCGTGAATTTCTCTTGAAAGCTATCCATCCTGAGTTATCCTTCGGGTCCGAACACTCCGTACGAATTATTTACTAATCATCAGTGATTAATCTGGATTAATACCATTGGAAGCGGCGTTTTAAAAACGTAAATATGGAGCAAGTCCGTATTCCATAAGGTATCACCTGTTTGTCTGGTGTCTGCACTAGGGACACCTACTGGTCTGGATCCGACCACGGCAAGGAAAACCGATATAAATTTGAAATGTTGTACGCAATAATAGGTAAAGCCAACCAAAAAGCATTTGGGACAAATAATTTTGTAGATGTGGCAAATCAGAGGGTTGACTTTAAATAAAATTTTGTTAGTTAACAAATTTCTTTACTAACTTAACAACATTGTTGTTTAAATTTACCATTAAGTAATGGTTAAAAGCAATTTAAACAATTTCTTGTTTGGTTTGATGAAGCCGTTTAACAAAAAAACTGTTAGTGAACTAAATTATAGTTAAATTTGCCGCGAATTTTCTTGTCAATGAACAATTAAAAATGGTAAAATATACCATAATAGTTATAAACCAAGTTGAACATTTTAAAGTTTGTTTCGACAAAATTTATCAAAAAAACTGTTAGTGCACTAAATAATTGTTAAATTTGCCTAAAATATCATTGTCACTAAACAATTAAAATTGGTTAAATATCCCATCCAGTAATAGGTGAAAATTCATTAAACATTTACTGGTTTGGTTTGACACACTTTAACAAAAAACTGTTAGTGAACTAAATAATAGTTCAATTTTTCCAAAATATCATAGTCACTTTTAACAATTAAATTTGTTAAATATACCATACAATAATGAGTAAAACTGAATTAAACATTTTCTGGTATGAATTGACAAAATTTAACCAAAATCCTGGTTAGTGAGCAAAACAATAGTTATAATATCTATTTTTTAAGTTAAATCAAGTTTTGTGTCGCAACAATTTTTTATTGGTAGAAATAACTTTCAAGCTCTGATTAAATTAAACAGATTGTAGTTACATTTGACAATATCATCGGAATTGTTATTGAACAATTTTTTTTTTTTGAATCAACCCATGTAATTTTTCTGAGTGTGAGACCGGACGATAATTGCTAGGAAGAGTTTGGTTTTCTAGTGTGAAGTTGCAGAAGAATTTTCCAATATGTGGCAGAATACCTCTGAAGCTCTGCCAAATTGTTTGGCAAAGACATTTGCTTCATCCTTTGACGATACTACAATGGTCCTTAACTGATGGTGGAAAAAAAAGTGTGAAATTTTATCCAATGGTCTTGGTAGAGAACCGAAAGGACCTTGATCCACTTAGGCAGTTCAAAAGTCAATTACGCACTTGTTGGTTGTGTAACTCCTTAGCCTCGTTTTTTGCAATCATTTCTGACAGCCGTGAAAGAAGATCGAGTTTGTTCGGTATTGGTTTCTACGCCAGGCACGATACGCGGTGTTCTTTTTTGCATCCGCTCGGACACACTGCTTGTTAAACCTGGGTTTTCTGGCACGGGATGTTTTATTGGAGTGTATATACCTTGGGAAATTATTTCGGAAACCTCTTGCCAGCTCGGAGGAATCTTTGGACTCGAAGTGCGTCCGTGAAGTAACGGATAAATTCATTTAAATTTTAAGCATTTTTTTTTTTTTTTTTGGAAAAATGATCGGACACGTCAATCTTAATTTTTAGTGGCGCTGTTTTCAATCGAATTTATTTGTATTTATACAAGGTGACCCAAAAAAGAGATATCACGTGACACAAATTTTTAAATCGAATATTTTGATGATTGTATATTTTGATGATTATCGATAAAGCGCATCGAGATGAATTCTCGTTCTATCGATATTCATCAAAATATACAGGGCTTTCCATTTGAAAAATTGAAATGTCAAATGTCATGTGATATCTCTTTTTTAGGTCACCTGGTACAAATACAAATTAGTTCAAAAACAGCGCCACTAAAAATAAAGACAGAAGTGTCCGAGCGTTTTTACAAAAAAAAAAAAAAAGATATGAATTTATCCGCTACTTTACGGACACACTGTATATCGGACCACCAGACCAGTTTTAAGCCTTCTACAGCTCCATACCTATAAGGCCGATTCTTTCTAACATCATCACTTTCAGTTTGATCACCTGCAACTGATCATGATTACTTGCAAGGGCGGTTTAAAGGGGGAGTAGAGGAGGTAATTACCTCCCCCGGCCCCCCCAGGCAAAGATTTTTTCAATAAATCATTTATTAATTAGGTACAACAAAATTTCAACGAAAGACAAGTTTTTTTTTTTTTTTTTTTTTTTTTTTTACGGATATGCGCACTCGCAAGGAAATGTCCTATCACGCTCGAGAAGCGGCAAGTGCGCGGAAATGTCGGTGTATGTTGGTCTTGAAACGGTTCAGGTTGTAACCTGCAGGGAAAACCGTCGCAGGGAGTTTATTCCACAGCGATGCTGTTCTCCAGAGATATGAATTCTGATATAATGAGGTTCTTGGTGCCTCTAGTTTGACAGTAAATTCATGGTTACCGTCTGTTTGACGGGTTCGCCTGGTAGGTGCTACTCTCGGTGGAATCATACGTGCCAACTCTTCAGAGCATTTTCCGTGATAGTACCTGTAGAAGAGAGATAAATCGCCCACAGATCTGCGATGTTCGAGACCATCCAAGTTACGAGTAAGTGCGGGGTCATTGATCAGCTTGATAGCTCGTTTTTGCACGGTATTCAAAAGCATTAAGGTATGTTTGGGTGCTGCACTCCATATATGTGAGCAGTACTCCATAGTTGGTCGAATCTGGGCTTTGTAGAGTGTCAGCAATTGGCTTGGTGTGTACAGATGTCTTGTACGAAATAGCACCCCCAGCTTTTGGGAGGCCCTTTTAGCAATATCTGCCACGTGACTGTGCCAAGACATGTTGGTCTCTGCAGTAACCCCCAAGATGTTCAACTGACTCTGTAATGTGACAGCACTTCCAGATAGCATGATGTTTGGCTCACCGGTGCTGGTCTTTTTTGAAAACAGAGCTGCTTGGGTTTTCTGCGCGTTGAACTGTACAAGGTTTTTGTTACCCCAGTCCTCTATTATCTCCAGGTCGTTATTTATCTGCGATATTTGAGTTAGTCTAAGATGATGGAATTCACGTGCGGAAAGACCTGTGGGTGGTATGAGTGAGGAGACTACATTGCCATCGTCTGCAAAGCAATAAAGTGGATTTACTGTTTTATCTATGAGGTCATTTATGTTCTACAAAGTAATACATTAAAGGCATTGTATAAATTGATTGGCTTACCAGTACAAGTGGATACTAAAATATAGGGTGTTCCATTTAAAATAACAAAGTTTTGTCGCATACCCTATTTACGGAGCACCCTGCATATTCAAAAATATTTTTAACCAATGCACCTTAGACTATTAAACAAATTTGTAATTTAGTTTTTGTTTCTTGCATCACCCTGTAAGGAGATATCGTCCGATAACGAACTAAGTGGACACCCTGTATAACTTTTTTGACGGCATCGGGATACATTTTTGCCCGAGGCGTGTTTTAAACGACTTTCGGGTGCAAATTTGGGCGTGGCACCCAAAAAAAAAAAATTCGCCATCAACAGAGTGTCAGCTCATCCCTGTACAGCAATTAATTGAAAAAAATCAACCCAAACTAACAATAATTTCTCTTTAAATATGTATAGGCAATTTTGGTTTGTTTTATGTTACCTTAACCTAGCAAAATTCAAATAAACGTCAATACACCACGAAAAGGTCGATTTTTCCGAACACTTGTATGAGTTATGTTCAGAATGAAGTTAGCAACATCACTTTCACTTATATCACTTTGATCACTGATAATTGACTAGAAAGAATACGCCTCTAATGCCACATTCCATTTGGCTCCAATAAACATGTAATTACATGTGTATCATAATCGCGACAATTGTGAACGCCTAAGATGATGATGCGACTATAGTGAATGTCCTCCATATGGATACTCCCAATGTTACACAAACTCAAATAATCATTATTGATTTACCGCAATAATAGCGTCGGACAAGGACATTGTGGTCACAAACAATTCGCAAAAAAAAAATCCTTTATATGTTAAAACCATGTTCATTTAACGAATGAAATAATTATTGGCTTGAATAAGAATGAAGGCAAAAAGAATATTTTTATAGATAGGAGAATGTAAATCAACCTGGATTAGGTATGTGGTAACAAACATTTCTTTTCTCAATTATTATACACCTATGTGTATGTGAAATATTTTTTTACTCTCTACTCTGTATCAAATAAACTACCTATTAGATATTTCAGATAATAAAGGAAAATAACAAAATACTTAATAAAGCACTAAATGAAATCCTATCATACCATCAAAAGCAATGATGCAGTTCCATTAACAGTCATTTTAATTGTGATAACAAAAACCATCTAAAATGTCCTTCGCAGTTCATAATTAAGTTATAACAATTTAAAGCTCATTTTTATTTGACATCAAATGAGTGTAAACTCTTAAAACGGGAATTACAATAACAACAAAAATGCTGAAATTAAATAAAGGTAATTCAAGTGGACCATTACTAAAGCTTTCACTTGAAAAGCCTTGGCACGAACACAGCTTATCTGGTCTACTATCAGGTAGTTAGGGACAACTCGAGCTTATTGGCTGATTTGTGTAATAATGTGCCTAAACGGTGGGAGGAGCACAAGCTCCTCCCAATAAAAGCGTCTCCTCCCAGCGCGAATTCCCCTCACGATAAGCACTTTCAGTTATTTGATCAGTTTTGCTTAAGCACCTTGGTAACGTTGTAGTCGGTCGAAAAGTTAATTTATAAACAATAAAACGCGATAGACATTAACCTGGACCATGTGATTGTGATAAAAAGTGGTGCCTATTATTATACCTATGTTCACTTATGCTCAGAAAGACTTCTGAAATGACTATCCAAAACCTGGACAGACTGGACGCAAAAAAAGGAGAAACTATGCAAAATATCAATAATAGTGACAATAATGTGACTAATCAACAACCACTGACTAGTAAAAACGGACATATTAGTTTTAGTGTAGCTTCACTCTTAGCTGATACTAGGCCCGTTAAATCGTCTTCGCCGGTTTCTCAAAGTTCCTCCACATTACCGCCATCAAGCCCCACGAATCCTTCTTCAGATGACGAATACGACTCAAATCCTGAAGAAGAGGACGATTCGATAGTTGACGTTGAAGACTTAAACCAAGACCAAAAATCTTCTCGCCGTAGTCCCGCGAAGGAAGATGAAGTTGAAACAGACCGATCATCCAGAGATTTTTCAAAAGAAAGTCTTTTGAACCATGGACCTATTCGGCCAACGCCGTTCTCGGCACTGGCGGCTGTTTATCAGGCGGCCCACCAAAATTGGCCCCATCAGGGAATTATGAACCCTTTTGGGGGTCCGTCGCCGGTCTTCCAGGGGTCAACACCGTTTGGTATGGGAGGGATGAATTCTGGTAAGCAATAATTGATTCAGTACATCGCTTATATTGATAATAAACTAGTAGAATTAGTTACCCATGTCGAGCTTAACTGTTTGCCGTCGGACAATAACATTGCCGCTTCTGTGGTTTACAATTAGGTCTTGAGCTTAAAGTTTCCTGGACATTTACAGTGGCTCTCTCAGTCACGTAACAATTTGAGATAACTTTGGTAATAGATTATCCAAACTTGAAGGTATGACCCCAGTTTATTCATCCTCGGATAAACTTGGTGGCAACTGTATACAAAGACGAAACTATAGTATCTGGTCGTCCACTAGGATTTTAAATTGCGTCTTTATCAGGCTTATTGAATTTTTTGACAGTGTACCAGAAGCTGAATAAAGTCGCACTTAAAATTTGACCATTTTTTGGTAGGTTTCTACTTTTTGCGTAGGTACATTAACTTCTACCGAAAATAATATCAGATATACCTAACCATCATACCTACAATTCGTTGAAAATTCCAAGAAGTTGCAAGGATTTTTGACCCCAATTTTTACCCAACTTTAAGTTTTCGACTACAATGTAAGTATACAATTTTTTGGTTGGTAGGTATACAATAATAGATTATAATTATATAATAGACATATATTACCTATCTATTTCTATTATACTTAGGCTCCTAACTTGGTAGTTATACCAAAGTTTGGTTATACTTTATTAATAGGCATTCAACAATAATACCTATATTGTCTGAATAAGGTTGCAAAGAGTATAATTTTAGAAAAATATTCAAAAAAATTACATTTATTTTAAAATGTAGGTATACCTGCAAATAACAGTCCAGTCCATAAAACCGCGTCATTATTTTCACACCTAAATGCCGCGGTCCCGGCGAAAATCATAATAATAAAAAATCGAAACTATCGACAAGAGCAATTTCGCGCTTTTCAAATTTAATAGCTTAATTTGAAGGGTATAATTTGCTAACATAACAATTTAACGGGTTGGGAAAAAAAAATCACCGCAGCCGATTTGACGACGGAATCGGTTCCGCAAAGTCGCCGGAACCTTTGATGGTCGGCCACCACACCAAAAGGATAATGAAGATATAAAAAGAACGGGTTTGGCACTTGTTTCATGACATCGGGAATATTCATGTACCATATGAATTTTGTTTATGACGAACTACCAACTGATGTAAAATCATTCTTCCTTGGCAACTAAAAAAACAAAACAGTTACCTACTAGACAGATTTTTGGAGCACAGGGTACTACTTTTTGAAGAAAAACGATAATACGCATTTAAAGTGCCAGTATCAAATCGGTTAATTACATGAAACTCCATTATTTGCTGACTTCGCTAGGTGGTAGAAATTATTTCAATTAATTCCAAATTGTATAAACCTCTTGGTGAATATAATTATTGCACATAGTAAATCAAAGTTTTAAAAAAAAAATTGTTTTGCAAAAATCAAGTTAAATTTAAAAGATTGAAGCTTTTCTTGCTGCTTTAGTTATCAGTATTCAGAATTTTCCTTCTACGATGATTTTCTCAGAGAGAGCCAACAGGTCTAGTTAGAATTGGTTTCTTTTTAAACAACAAACAATCAGAATGGAAACAGAAAAAGAGATCCGATGGGCAACGGCGGAAAAATGTTCAGTGGTAGCGCGTCACCAGTTAGTTTTATCAGTATCCTTGACGGTGAATGTCGGCGGAAGAGAGTTTTACTAGTGTGCGCCCCTGATATTTCCGCCGTTAGCCCGGTTCGAGGTCATAGAAAAGCAAATCGGATCTGTCTTTGTGTATTCCTTCTGATTGTTTGTTATTCTGTGTCCTTATTCTGGAATTTGATCTTCCGGATAGTGGTGCCGCGAGACGAGACTAGACGAGACTTAGCGTTGGTCTCGTCTCGTCTCGACATCTCGAGACGAGACCGTGACTTAGTCTCAGTCTCGAGTACCAAAGTCTCGTCTCGTCTCGAGTGGTCTCGTCTGGCCTCGAGTTATACTGGGTGTCCAAAAAATAGCCTAAAAACTCTTCTCTACGTGGTGGAGGACCCTACAAGGAACCCCAAAAAAATACTTCTAAAAATCTAGTGGCATTCTTAAGAAAGTTATTTGCATTTTAATATTTATTAAAATTGGCAACACTTAAATATCCCGTTGACAATATGTCAGAGAATTAAATTAAATACCCATGTAATTATTTGAAGAATTCGAAGGTGAATTTTCACATCTACCTCTTCATATTACCAAGAATAATGCTGGACAAGGATTTTTTTCAATTTAATTATTTTTCTAGGGTTTCTCAAAGGGTCCCCTACTACGTGGAGAGCTTTTACGCTATTTTTTGGACACCCTGTATTTATGGTTTTTATTTTTATTTATAACGGAAGTCCAAAATGCCATAGTGAAAAAGCAATTAGTGAAAAATCACAGTAAAGAGTAACCGTGATATTTAATTTACTGAATTCATATTCAAATAGCCCAGAATAATTCAATAATAAAGCTAGGAAAGAAAAATTTTAGGGGTAATCTCGAAACTCGAGACTACACGAGACTCTCGCCGAGACTTCACGAGACGAGACCAAAAACTAGTTTCGTCTCGAAAAGTCGAGACAAGACGAGACGAGGCGAGACCAGTCTCGAGACTCGCGGCATCACTACTTCCCGGAGTAGCTACTGGCTCTTTCTGAAGCTTTGGGTGATAATTCTTGAAGTTTCTCTTCTATACTCATAATACGCTAATGCAGAAGTGACTTTTTCAATAGGCTCTTCTAAAGTTTCTGGTATTGGTTCGCTTACATTGATTTTTCAGGGGTAACTAATGAGTCAGTGGCTTTTTCAATGCCGTTGATGAAGCTTCTAGTATTGATTCGACTAGGTTCTCTTCTCTGGGGAAAGAAGCTAAAGGGCTGATTATTTTTAAGTTTTTGTTCTTCTTTAGCCTTGGTTCATCTGATGCCGAAGGCCCGCGATTTTCTTTTATGTCTTTCTGCCCTGTGTTCTCATTCACTTTCTTCCATCATAGATTGCCTGACTCTTCCTATTCCTTTCTTTGTTCCTCTTTGTATCTGTACTGGTGCTGCCTAGCATGACCCGTTCCATAGGTGACCCATAGTTCCTTTTTAAATCGATCCATAATCCATGGTGTCTAGTCCTTAGGTGTCTTCAAGATTGTAGCTCAATTTATGTGTCCAAGATAAACATACTGAAATTAAATGAGTGAATTAAATTTGTATCCATCAATTATTGTGTTTTCAACATCGCTACTCATTAGTTTTGGTTGATATTAATTTATATGTGGTTTGATAGTTCATTGAAATTGTTCAACATGCTTTTTAGCTGTTGTATATCAGAGGTACCTAATCAATATTATCTGTGAATTTTAATTGGTTTACACCATCAACATTTATTATTTTCTCTTCCCATGACTTTTATGTCAAGCGGTGTCTTGGTGATCTTATGGACATTTTCACATGTCGTATGTGCAACGTCTTAAATATATCTAATAAATATGGAATCCTTTGAATCTATCATCATCCATGAAGCCATTTCTTCTTCTTCTTCTGATAGCCATTCTCTATCAGAGGCCTCTCTCATATTTTGCTAGGTATTTCTATTCTGTGCGACCTGGTACCAGTTTAGTCCTGCTGTTCGCTTGATGTCGTCGTACCAGACGTGGCCGGCCCACTTCCATTTGAGGGTGCATATTCTATGTGTAATAATACCTTTGTTGTATTTCTTATCCACTTGTGGGTGTCTTGCATAATACCTATCATTCTCCTTTGGATTGCTCTCTGATGCACTTGCAGCATATTTAGGATCTTCTTTGTGAAAGTCCATGTTTCGCTTCCATAGGCAACTACTGGCAAAATACATTCGTTGTAGACTTTATTTATTAGCTTTAAAGGTAATTTGGACTAAAATATGTAGCGAATTTTACCATACGTTGCCCATTCCAGTCGTATTCTCCTAATTAATTTCAAGCTCTTGATTGACTTTGCCAAGCGTTATTTCCTGTCCTAGATACTTGTAGTCTACTTTGTTCACCTGTTGGTTTTCTGTGGTTATTGTGTCCCTATCTGTTTGCGCATTTGTCATAAACTCTGTTTTTGATATGCTCATTTCTAATCCGATCTTCTTGGCTTCTTGGAGTAATTCTTTCAGCATGATTTCTAAGTCTGTTTCATTCGGGGCGAACATCACGATATCATTAGCGAATCTTAAATTATTGAGTAAAAGATTTTTCAATGGCCGTTGATGAAGCTTCTAGTATTGATTCGACTAGGTTCTCTTCTCTGGGGAAAGAAGCTAATGGGTTGATTATTTTTAAGTTTTTGTTCTTCTTTAGCCTTGTAACAGCCGATTCAATAAAAATGTTAAATTATTGAGGTTTTTTCAGATATATTGATTCCTCTATTTTCCCAATCAAGTTTCTTGAAAACATCTTCGAGGACTAGGGTGAACAGCTTAGCTGATATTATGTCGCCTTGTCTTACGCCTCTCTTGATCTTCACTTCCTGTGTATCTTTATGCATTCTCAATTTTATTTTTGTTGCTTCTTACATGTTTTTGATTATGTTGTAATGTTATATTCGATCGTCTTTCCATTTAGTATTCTTATTGTGTGAAGCTGTTCTATTGTGCTGTAGCTCTTTCTATTGATAATCATCGAATTCCTTTCTAGGCGGTTGATGATTATTCACAAAGGCAGTTTGTATATCTGAGATAGGAGGCTTATATATGGGTCTATAGTTTTCAAGATTTGATGGGTCCCCTTTTTTGTATATCAAACGACGATAGTAGTCTCCTAGTCGTAGTCTCCTACCACCTTCAGCATTTCTGGTAATATATCGTCCATTCCTGGGACTTTCCCGTTGTTTGATTGGCTTAGCGCTTTTGCAATTTCTTCCTCGCTTCTGACCGAACATTTAGAATTTTGGATGTTTCGCTTTCGGTTACTTGTTTATTAGTTCCGTTGTTGCTTTTTGCGTCCTCTGGTTCCTTGAAGAAATTTTCAGCCACAC